GCATACACACACATGCACGCACACTCTAATTCTGTCTGAAACACACATCCAGCACAGTGATGTGTTCTGGTTGCACCCATAATATTGATAGTAAACAGTGGCTTGGTATGTACAGAAAACCAGTCGCACTGTGTCATTATCCAACCAGCATCTTATCACATTTAATGTCTGTGTTTGGAGGACAACAAAGGCTTGGATTACACTGCCGGGTCTGCCCGCTCACCTTCAACACCACCATGGAAGAGAATGACACTTTGGATAAAGTCGGCTTTCATCTCTTCCTCTTCCTCTCCCTTTACGATGGTCAACATCTCGTATCTGTCCACCTGAGACATGACAATTAGTCACCTAGAGTATAGAGTAGTCAGTTTGAATCTGCCACAAAAAAAATCAGTTAAAGTGACTTACCCCCTGAAAGGGATGTACAGGGAGCACTCCTGTTCATTTTCACTCTTTTAGAGTTGAAAAATAAACACATTTAACCCAATTTTTCATCCTTTGGTGAATTTTGGATGTTCCATTCATTGAAGGGTTATTCGGGTAATGTTACAGATATAACACAAAATAATGATAATCGAAGCAGCTGAGGCCAAGATATCCTGCCTTTTAATCCTTAGTTTAGTTCAAGCTCCAAAATCAATGGATCCCACCTTACCCATAATGCAGTTTTCTTTAGATGTAAGAGTCCCCAGCTCAACTGGCTTAAAGGCTCTGCCAGGTGCTAATGTGTTACAAAAAAGAAGAAGAGCTTTGCACACTAGAATCTGTGCAATATATTCAATGCAAGCTTTCGGTCAAAGATCTTCATGCATGTGAGGCCTTGTACTGTATGCCTGATAAGCTCTTCTTTTTTCCTTTTTTTAACAACAGAACAATATGAACATATGTTCAAACATAACCAAAGCATAAGAAATAGATATAGAAAATGAATAAATGACAATAAGAGACTATTTAATAACATAGCCTATGATTTACAGTAAGTAGTAATTGTGTTGTATGAATCAGATACCAATAAGGTACATCTTACTGCTTACTTCAGTTCTATTGAAATGTAAATAGAGAAAGAAAACAAGACTATGGGGAACAAAGGAGTAACAATTGGCCATTTTAGAAGAATAAATTATATTATTCTATTTATTATTTCTTTTTTGTAATCATTGGGAATCTTTGTGGCACAGTACTGGGAAACAAAACAGTACATCCACTACTGGTAGCAAATTATAACTGTAAATAATTATCTTACAGGTTTCACAGAATATCAGTGTTTATTAACACCATTTCCCCCAAAGCTTTGTTTTCCAGTTGCCTTCGAAGTAACCAGTATTTACAAACACATGTAAAGTATAATTTATTTCTCTTTTCATCCAAAATGGCCAACTGTTACTCCCAAAGTCTTCTTTTTAAGTACCAATGAGTACTGGTACCTGAATTCATACACACTGTAAATGGCTGATTATAGTACGTTATCAATGATACATTATGTGCATATACTGAATTTAACAACTCACAGTGCAACTTGATATTTTTTAAACTGGCTGTGCATCTCCCAAACTCCACACTTGTAGTTTAGCAATTCAGATTTGTTGGTACAATATACAATTACTAAAATAACGTCACTTGAGTCATTTACTCAGATATTATACACCTGTTTTTACAGACTGTACCATACACTATACATTAAGGTACTAAAATCTTAAAGGATCTCTGCCTGGACGCTAGTCTTGCATAGCTATGTACGCTGTGTCATATGCCCTTAATCCAGTGCGTGTGTGTGTGTTGTCACTCACAGTCCTGAGCACTGAGTCAGAGGCCATTATATACCAACTCCTGTATCTCCTGTTGATAAATCAGCAGTAAGGGCAATTACCTGTAACACATGACAGCATTCATCCTTAAACAGTCAACAAAAGAAGAAGTCATAGATGACTATGTTTTCAGGTGTTATTACATTAACCATCAGACAGTATGTTGCTTCTGTTACAGATTTTAACTGGGATATAACACACACACAAACACACACTGTATTTATACACTTTACAAATTCATCCGCGCACGACTGCGTTAAGGCCGATCTTGCTGTGCGTCTTCTTTTCTCTTCTTGTGGCTGCAAGAAAGCAAAACCATACCTACAGTGATGTTATGGTTCATAATAGATACGTAAGATAGGTGTCTCAGCCAGTGGGAGCTTGCACCATAATTGACCAACAAACCTGTGAATGATCTTCCGCTACCAAATGCTCTTTCAGTGTTGATCTTCTCCGGCGACGAACGGCAGCACATGGTTATCGCTGCACCATGGATACAGCGCAAATGTTTTAACAGTTATGTTTCTTACCAAAGAGTTTCGCCTGTGCTTAAAAAAAAATAATAAACACTTAATATACTAAAACGAGTCTGCCAATTTCAAAATTACTCCACAACAAGTAAATCGTCCAAATAGAAAATGTAACTAACTAAAATAGTTAAAGTATCAAAACTAAAAATAAAAATGGCACATATAAAATCCCGGTAAATGCGGCAGATGTCAACACCTCGCCTGGCGTTTGCTCCCTGACCTTATTTTGTAACTTTAACATATCTACACTCAGACTTTTTATAAAAAAAAGTTTTTGGGGTGGTAGGGATTTGTTTGGTGTTTTAAAAGGGGAAAATGGTAAAATGTACTCCTTACTGATGAAACATGTTATTTCTTGATAACCAATAAGATCATATACAATAAATACTAAAAAAGGCAAATGTTACAGTTTAAGCCAATTATATATTAATACTTTGTGAAATAATTATTAATGATTTAAGCCAACAGTTTTAATGTTCGAGCTGTTGAGGTGGAGCAATTTCTGAAACGAACTTTAATCGTACAAGGTATCTCAGGGTTGGCTTTTTGCCTTAAATATTCTATGGCATTGCTAGGATTATTGATCTGACCGTCATTGCCATCATGGATTTGGGAATATTAGTAATTTTACCCATTTTAGGTCTACCCAGAACAGTAGTCATGGAAATAAAGGCAAAAATAGAAGTATTTACTTCTACTGATTAGTAGATCAGTCAAGATACCCATCACTCTTAATATTAATAATCAATAATAAATTCAATTGTACCTGTGTAGCCCTTGTTTCAGTGGGTTTTGTTCCCAGTTAGACAGAATGCGCAACGCACCCTACAGGTACCCCTTGTCAAAGCTTAGTATACCACTGCATAATGTCCACAATGTTCAGCGAGTAAAACTGAATGTCAGAAAACAGTGTTTTAAAGCGCTCCAACACTCAGAGTCCCGACAGGCAAGATAAAAGCCATCCAGAGGCGCAGGAATGCTATCACCTTCGCCATCTTGGCCTCACAAAAGGGGGCTAAAGAATGACACCCTCCCTGAACCCCCCCACAAGCGTACACTTTTTGAGCTGAAATGAGTAAATCCCGAAACCGC